TTCCTGATCTTAGAGGAAAAGCTTCCAACCTTTCACCATTGAGTATGATGTTAGCTGTGGGCTTGTCTAATATGGCCTTTATTATGTTGAACTATATTCCTTCTATGCTTAATCTGTTAAGATTATTTTTTATCATGAATAGATGTTGAAGTCTGTCAAATGCTTTTTCTGTTTTTATTGAGATGATCATGATTCTTTTCTTTCATTCTATTAATATGATGTATCATACTGATTGATTTGCATATGTTGAACCATCCCAGGGATGAATCCTACTGGTTCAAATATCTTAAAGCAAATCCCAGATAGTATGTCATTTAACTTCAACACACTTCAGAATGTTTCCCCAAAGAAAATGGACATTTTCCAACATAAACACAATGCCATTATTACACCCAATAAAATATCAATATTTCTTTGGCATTGTCTAATACCAGTCCATACTCAAATGTCTATGCATGTCTTAAAGTTTTTTAACTGTTGTGATGTTTGAATCACAACAGTTGAAACTAAACAAGGTCACACCTTTCATTTTGCTGCTATATCTCTTTAATCCAGAGCTCTTCCTCACCTCTTCTCTCTCCTTTTTGCCCTGTTATTAACTTGCTGCAGAAACAGTGTCAGTTGTTTTATAGAGTGTGTCACATTCTAGACTTTATCTGTTACCTTCTTTGTGGTGTCATTTAACTTGTTCCTCTAATCCTCATGTTTCCTGTAAGCCTTTAAGTGGGAAGTCAGTTCTAAGGTTGATGAGACTGTTTTGTTTTTGGTTAGCTTTGTTTTGTTTAGGGAAGAACACTTCATAGGTGTGCTGAGTACTTCAGATGGCATTAGATCAGGCAGCACACAATGGAGTCCCTTTTGTAGTGATACTTAAGAGTATTAGGCTGAGGTAGTGACACCCTGATCTCCATTGTAAAGTACCTTATTGACCTTCCATTTAATGGTTTAATCCATTGATGATTGTTGCCTGAATCATTTATTTCACAAAGGATTGCTAAATGGCAATTTTCCAATTCTGGTATTTCTTTCTATATTATAAAAATCAACTTACCCTCAACAACGATTTGGCTTTCTGAAATACAATTAAATCAGGAAAGGTAGTGTAAGTTCTAATTCTTTTCTTTCAATTGACAATTTTATTTTAATTTTTAAATTAATTTATTTTTTATTTGTTTATTTTTGTCTGCCTTGGGTCTTTGTTGCTGCATGCAGGCTTTCTCTAGTTGAGGCGAGCAGGGGCTACTCTTCGTTGCGGTGCGTGGGCTTCTCATTGCAGTGGCTTCTCTTGTGGAGCACAAGCTCTAGGTGCACGGGCTTCAGTAGTTGTGGCACACGGGCTCAGTAGTTGTGGCTCACAGGCTCTGGAGTGCAGGCTCAGTAGTTGTGGCACACGGGCTTAGCTGCTCCGCGGCATGTGGGATCTTCCCGGACCAGGGCTCGAACCTGTGTCCCCTGCATTGGCAGGTGGATTCTTAACCACTGTGTCACCAGGGAAGCCCCACAATTGACAATTTTAGAATAAGGGGTGTGTGCCCTAGTTACTTGCAGTAGTGTCCAGTGAATTGTTTTGTTTTTGTTGATTTTTGTCTCCCTCCTTTGGAGCATCATTAAGAATTCATGGATTTTTATATATTCAGTATGTTTCAAACAACTGTATTTATTACTTTTTTTGATTGTCCCATCGTTGACCAAAGAGATCCTTTGATTTTGGTTTCTGTTACCATTTTTTTTTTTTTTGCGGTACGCGGGCCTCTCACCATTTTGGCCTCTCCAGTTGCGGAGCATAGGCTCTGGACACGCAGGCTCAGCGGCCACGGCTCACGGGCCTACCCGCTCTGCAGCATGTGGGATCCTTCCGCACCGGGACGCGACCCGTGTCCCCTGCATCGGCAGGCAGACTCCCAACCACTGCACCACCAGGGAAGCCCTCTGTTACCTTTTGACACACTTATTTATTGTGAATGGATTCCTTGTTTCGTGTCACAAGATATCCCACACTTGTCTTATATATATCTTGCCTCAGACCTGAAATCAGACATTCCTCTGAGTGGCCCTGGTTTCTTTTAGTTGGAAATTGTATTAAAAATTAGAACCTAGTATTTATTTAGGTAATAAACAAAACTGTAATTGCCTGTTTTATTTTTATTTTAGGCTGACTTTTAAATTATTTATGTAAAAGGAGATGTACATCATTTATTATATGTATACCTAAAATTGGTTAATAACCATATACCAATGTTTCATTTTTCCAGATGGCACAATTTACATTCAAAATTTCCCAAAAACGTTTGAAATGAGGGATATAAATGAAATCTTAAATGTTTTTACACGTATTCAAAAAGAATATCAATTTAATCAGAGTTGCTATAGTAAAAGCCTTGAAAAAACTTTCAGATATGAGATGGGTTTGACATGAGCTGTCAAATTTGAGTTTTAGCTTGGAATAAGAGAAGGGCTGTAATTTCAGGTGTTAGCAAATTCTGATGTGGGAATGCATGATATTCAAATAAATAAAATGCAAAATGCTATTTGGCAGGAATTCTCAAAGTGAGGTCTGAGGACCTCTGGGGGTTTCTGAGACCCTTTTAGGGGGTTTGCAAGGTCCTCCTTTCTTCAACCATGATTTGAATGAGGGCCAGTTTTCCTCAAAATATCTTAGCTATAACAACATATCACAAAAGATTGAATGCAGAAGCAGAATGTGAGCTTCCAACACTCTCTCTTAAGCCGGAGAGTAAAGAGATTTGCAAAAAATGTGAAAAAGGCCACTTTTCTCACTAATTTTTAAAAAAATGTATTCATTATTCAAAAAAATGTTCTTTATAGTAAACATGAAATGGGTTTATTATTTAAAAATGAGTTAATAAACATACATCTAAATTTTTTGTTTTAATTTTTAATACAGTAAATATCGACATATATAACCCACACAAACAAAAGCTCTTTAAAGTCCTCAATCATTTTTAAGAATGTAAAGAGATCTTGAGACCAAGAATTTTGAAAACCTTTTATTCTATGATATCTTGCACTGTTTGCTTACTAATTGTAAGTATGTATGAATAGGAATAGATTCAAAATATAAATGTATTCATAGAATTTATAAACTTTATTTCAAGTTAACTTTGTTTAAATATCTCCTTGAGCATTAGACATGATCTCTAACCACAGTTCAATTTTATACCTTAGGAATAGATGATTCATTTTCTTCCTGATGACATAAATGCCAAACAGAATGCTGCTCTCATCTAAGGAAACAACTCATTATGTTTCAACTCCACACATAAAGCCAAATATTCAGTTTATAATTTAACTGATGAATTTGAAGAATATGGGATGTTCTGAAGTTTTAGCCAGCTTCTTTTTCTTTAGAAGTCTTTTTTTTTTTTTTTAAAAGAGCAGTTTTAGGTTCACTGCAAAACTGAGGAGAAAGTACAGAGACCCGACACTTGCAGAGCCTCCCCAACTATCAACATCCCAGCATCAAAGTGGTACATTTGTTACAACTGATGAACCCACACAGACACATCATTATCACCCAGAGTCTATAGTTTACATCAAGTTTCACTCTTGGTGTTATCCATTCCATGGGGTTTGACAAATGTATGAGGACATGCATCACCCTGACAGTATCATACAGAATATTTTCACTGCCCTAAATATTCTTTGTGCTCTGCCTATTCTTCCCTTCTTCCAGCATAACCCTTGTCAACCACAGCTCTTTTTACTGTCTCCATTGTTTTGCCTTTTCCAGAGTGTCAGATAGTTGGAGTCATATAGTGTACTGTACCCTTTTCAGATTACCTCAGCTTCCTAAGTACATTTCATGAATCTTAGTGACAAAGTCTGATCAGACTTATCAACTCTTTTTGTATGTTTATTTACATTCCTTTATAATAAAAATCACACATACCTGTCTTTGTTGTTTTTCCACATACATTCCATTCCACACAGTCAGCTCCTGGTGGCCAGGAGCTCCATCTATTTAATTTGGGACCACTTAATTAATTATTAATATTAATTATTAGTGCCAATAGATCCCAGTCCAATTTACAAATTGGTCCCCACTGCTATTCCATGAGGGTGGTCTTCCAAGCTAAGTGTTCTTGGAATTAAGTCCTTAAGCACTAGCAGAGAAGAGCTTACCTTACAGTAATTATTTCCGTGACAAATAAGAAAAACTACAAAAGTGCTACACAACCCCTTCACAGGAGAGCAATTTTATTCTCCTCAGGAGACTAATAGTTCTAGTTATCAGGACCGTTTAAGTCTCTGACTAGGTTTTTAAAACTTTAGAATTAGTTTTGAACCCAAAGTACCAGAATGTCTGGTACTTAGATTTGTATTGAATGATTTGCACAGAATAGTTTGTCAGTATCCAGAAGGACGATAAAGACAGACACAATCAAGGATATAATTGGCGAAGGGTTAAAAAAAAAAAAAAAAGTAGTAGGTTTCACTTTCTTCGAAGGTTTTAATAACCCAGTTAAGAGTTTGTGTCATTTGAATGCAAAAGCTTAGGTATGAAATTCCAGTTTCTCCAAAGTAAAACACTTGTTCTGGGTTATTCCTTCTGGCTTGTTTAGAAGCGGCAACATCGAATAGTTTTCCCGTACCCACATTAGTAGAAAAAACGCCGAAAGGACGAGTCCAGAGGGGAGAGCCCCAATAAGGCAGCTTGCCACTGTAGCTGTGCACTCAAAACAACTGCTGGGGTCTCGGTTTCCTCATCTGTAAAACAAGGGGAGAGGATGAAGTCACAGTCTCACAGATTTTCAACTCTTTGTTGCCCTCTCTCAGCCATTAGTACAGCGCTGAGCTCAGGGCAAACGGTCAATAATAGCCTGCTAGGCAAGGGTTGTTTTTGATCCGTTTCAGATCCAGGCCGGGTTTTGGAACTATCCCGCGCAGGCGTTCGGAAGTACAGCTTTACCGCTGGGGGCGGAGCTTCGCGAAGCTCCCGCGCTCCGGGGGCGGGGGCGGAGCTTGCCGCCGGCGGAGGGCGGAACCCACGCGGGGACTTCTCTTGGGCAGAGCTGCGCAGCGGGTGCGGAGGGCGGGGGTTTGGGGGCAGGTAGGGGGCTGTGAGGTTGGCTGGGGTGGGCAGGTGGGGTGCCGCTGCCGACCCTTGGTGGCCCCCAGGGCTTGGGCTCCTCAGCCCGGAGTTAGCCCTAGAGGGGACGAGTGTTGCTGGGAGGCGGAGGGCTGCTTGGCCGCGAGTCCTGTGGTGACCGCGAGCATGTGTGCGGGCGCGTGTTTATCTGAGGCCCCCGCGGGGCGGCCAACCCCGGACCCCTCCTCCTTCCGCCAACGTGGGTAGGAAACCGGAGCTCAGAGACCGGGACGCCAGGCCTGGAGCCGACGCGCTCCTCCCCGCTGGCCAGGCGCCCCCAGGTCGCGCCCTTTCTTCGTGCCCCCCACCAGAGGGGACAACTCCGGCCCAAGTCCTGGCCGAGAGGGAGCGCTGTGGAGACGCGCTGCCTTCTGTCTGGACACGTTGGGCGAGTGGTGGGAGTTCCAGAGGCTTGAATGTCAGGGTTTTAAAACACGTGTTTGTCTCTGTCATTTTTACTTTTAGGGTTTTGGCCAAATTGGGCGAGGGCACAAAGTAACCACTTACCCCTTCTCACCGAGGAGGAACGGGAGAAAGGGTAAGTAAGGAATGGTTAGGGGTGGAAGGAGCTAGGACTTTATCTTGAAAGAGAGCGAGCCAGAGAGAGAAGGACTAGATCCAGAACTGCCCTTGGATCTTGGGGCCAAATTGTACGTTTTCAGCAGGAACCTAAGGCCCACCTTCAAGGGTCACAGGCTCCAAGTCGAAGAGGTTTTTATTTTCAGGTGTTTTGGAGTCCGTAAGTTGGCTGGGACTTTGACAGCTGGCATAGGTCCCTTTTAGCCACTTGACCTGGCAGAAAACTGTCATTACCCTTCACCTCTCGGTAGTTGTCTGTCTTGTAGTTGTCCTGTAGTTGTCTGCCTCAGGCCCCCATCTCTTAGCTAACTTGGAATAATCTCTGAGACTGTGAAATTAAAGCATCACGGCTGTCCTTGATAATGAACAGGAACCCCTCCAAGGATCTTTACATTTTAAAAGGGGACTCCTGTAAAAATCCTTTAGGACTCCAAAGCATAAAGTTAATAACAGTGTTACAAGTGTTGAAGTTCTTTTGGGATCTTCTCTTAAGCTCATAGAGAAAGGTATTTTGGGAGGGAGAAATGACCAGACTGGGCGTTTTCTTCTTGACTTTACCTTTGATACCTCCTCACCAGCATTCTCTTCACTTCTGAAACGTTGACAAACAGCATATTGAAGTCTTTGAAGGTTTGCTGTGATTTTTCAGTGTGGGCTCTTTTAACGGTTCTTCTCTGGAACTTTTCCATGATCCCTCCCACCCCTAGTATTAGTGAAATGAGACACAACTGCTCTCAGAAGTTTGGAAACACCTTATGCATCCTCTGTGTCCCATATAAAGAAATGTTTTGAATTAGTTAAAACTCAGGTAAGCCACAGGCAAGGATTTTGTAAATCACATTCTTGGATACTTACACAGGAAAACTGGAATTGCCCTCCATGGCATCTTGACATTGGCGGCCTGTGTCCTGAATCTTTATTATTTGTGTGTGCTCAACTGGCAGATGGCCACATAACTTCATTTCTGAAAAAAACAGGAAATAGTTGTTTATTGGTGATAGGTTCATTTATTGATTCAATAGATATTTTTTTTTTTACCAGAGTGCTGAGCACTTTGATGTGAGTAAGGTGGTGAGAATGAGGAGACTGTTGGAGATGACCATTTGGGGGCAGGCCTTTTACCGGTTTTCTGTGGTTTTTCTGAATAGTTAAGTGTTAATGTAGAAGACATTCACTGTACTGCTGATGGTGGTTGCAGTGGTGTGGGAGAACAGCGTTATTTCCTGCCTTACTGATACTTTCAGAAATGAACGTTCAAGGATGACTGACCATGGTGATTTGTGTCCTGTAGTAAAGTTATAGTCATTTTCCAGTGTAATAAATGTATTGAACCAGCATTATAATTAGATGAGGATAATTTTTTGAATTGTTCCAGAAAAATGACCTACGATTAGAAAGCATGGACAATGTTAAGGATGATGCACTTAGGAAAATAAATGCTAAAGTAGGCTGTGCACTTGTGTGGGTTTCTTTACATTTAGCCTCACTTTTTTTTGTTTCTTTTAATTTTAAAATTTATTTTTGTAATTTAATTTTTATTGGAGTATAGTTGATTTAAAATGTGTTAATTTTTGCTGTACATCAAAGTGAATCAGTTATACATATACATATATCCACTTTTTTTTAGATTCTTTTCCCATATAGGTCATTACAGAGTATTAAGAGTTCCCTGTGCTATACAGTAGGTCCTTATTAGTTATCTGTTTTATATATAGTAGTGTGTATATGTCAATCCCAATTTTTTTTTTTGACCGTGCTGAGTGGCTTGCGGGGTCTTATTTCGCTGACCAGGGATTGAACCCCAGGCCCCCGGCAGCAGAAGTGCTGAGTCCTAACCACTGGACTGCCAGGGAATTCTCATAACCTCTTTTTTTTTTAAATTGAAGTGAAACAAGTTGTCTTTTTTTGGTTACAAAAGTTATATAAGGTAAAAAAAAGTTACTTAAAATTAAATCTTGCAAGGTTATAAAAGGTAGAATGTGAGTCTCATCTGAAATCAGTCTCAGACGACCACTGCTGGGTAAAAATGGTAGGTTTCTGCCTTTTACCTTCATATTCTTGGCTATTTACCTCTGCTCTTTGTTCCACTCCAAATCCTGTGTGGAAGTAGCATGCCTTTTATAGTCTTTCAGACATGGATGTGAATCCTGACTCTTCTTATATTAGCTCTGCGACTGTAGGCCAGTTAAAACTTCTTTACCCCTAACTTCTCATCTATCAAGACAGAACAATGAGTATATTAAAAAGAAAGTGTAAAAACAGTGCCTGGTACACAGATACTGTTAACTTCCCATCCTGTTTCTCTATCGGGTCACCCACTTTCTTTTGATCTTGCTTGTGATTGTGGAAAGCATTCTAGTACTTACTTTCCTAAAGGTGCTAAGCTTCCTGGGTATTTGCATTTTCACAGGTGATCACCTTTTCTGTCTGATCCTAGAATTTCTGGGACAAGGACTGACACCTGATTCCCTCTATCAGATCATTCCACAGCGGAAAGAGTGTCAGCTTGAAAAGTGAAGGGGAAGGGTTTCCATAATGTGTTTAAAAAGCTCTGACGCTGTTCCCACAGTGAGAAAGACATACTACCACATTTAGCTGAGTGTTTAAAGTTAGGATTTTTATTTCAGAAATGTCTTTGGTTTATAAGAATTACAATAAAAATTCTGATGCTTCATGTCCAAACTGTCATGATTTTGCCAAGTCGTGGGTTTAATATACAGCTAAGCTGTGTATTTAGTGTAGCTAATACTGTTCTGGAAGCCAAGAAAGACAAGTCCACAGACATCTGATTTCACACCAGACATCTGGCTTCACTTTGCTAAAGACTACATTTTGTCAGTAGATTACAGGCAATCAGCTGTACTGTTGTAGTTTGTGGCATTTCTATCATAAGCTGCAGTCTGTAGGATTTAGTATGATGTTTTATTCAAATGACAGCACACTGTAAATGAGCACCTGGTCAGATAAGCATATTTCCCACAGGTGTCTTCTAGTGTCATGGTTCTTACAAGTTAACAAGGTGAAATAGTTTCTATCCTTGGTGATTTTTTGTGGAAGAAAATATTCTTAAGGAAAAGCCTCACTTAAGAACTCCTTGTATTCCTCAAATTTTCAAGACCACTTTTGTTTGTCATGTTGAACAAATAAAATAACAAATAGCATTTAGATTTCCAGGCCAGGACTCCAAAGCTTTCCCAACTCATTGTGTGCCTTTGTGTATTAGTGATACTATAGACTGTAACCAACACTTATAATAGTGTTTTGGAGAATAATGTATTCTGAGTTGCAACCTAGAATGGCTGGACCACATCTCTCCATTTTGAGGTGGTCAGGGGTGTAGAAATACTCTGGAGAAATATTCCTGGGTTCTTGGGCCAGCTCTGTCATTGCTGTGTGACCTTGGACACAAATTTCCCATCTGTAAAATGGGGTACTAATTATAAATGATTACTGTGAGATTTAGGGAGTGTTTTTTTTTTTTTTTTTTGCCTCACCTCGGAAATGCAGGATCTTAGTTCCCTGACCAGGGATAGAACCCGCACCCCCTGCTGTGGAAGCATGGAGTCTTAACCACTGGACTGCAGGGAAGTCCCAGTGAGTGTTCTTAAAGTAGCACAATGCCTGGTACGAAATAGGTTCTCAGTAAATAGCACTTTCATTTTCTTTCCTCTAGGTCCTGGCCACGAGAACAAAGACTTCCCCTCTCTTATATCCCAGGCTTGTGGCTCCAGCTGGAGGGAATTACCCACTGAAGCTGGGACTTGGTAGTGGGGCTGGGAAAGGGGTATGGAGAATCATGACAAAGGGGAGGAGTGGTGAACTGAGAGAGGAAGGTGCCAGTGTTTTGCTTAGTCCATGGACTCAGGTTGATGAATTACTTGACTCAGAGAAAGAACCACCTTTATCTCTGACCTTTCTGCTAATCTTTTGTCAGCTGCTCCCTTGGAGACTCTTAGCTCCTTATTGCCTGCTTAGTCCAATGACAGATTTTCTCTTTGTCACCTTTGTACTATGTTAATAACCATATGTTTCTATTTTTTAATGGGTGGGACTTAATAATAGATGTCTGTACTTCCTTAAGATCTGGATTCTTTTTCTATACTTAAAGTTCTGTTGATCTTTTTTCCTTTCATTGGCCTACAGTTCATACATTAATTCCTTTTTAAAATTTTCTGTATGCTGTGTGCATTGAACTAGTGCTGAGGACAGAAAGTTGAAAAGTTACTTTCCTTGACCAAGGAGCTTACAGTCTATAGGACAGTGGACATCTTGACCAACAGTTCAAATATTGTGTGCTATTTGCTCTAATGGAGATACCTACACATGCAAAACAAGCCTAGCAGAAGCTCTTGATCCCTGACAGGAATGCCAGAGAAGGGCTTTAGCCGTGGTTGTTTGAGCTGAGTCTTGACAGCTGAGTAGGATTGGGCAGGGTGACAAGCAGCACAGAGCATTTCCAGGTGGAGCTAATAACATGAATAGTCGTGTGGTATTATGAGAGCACAGTGTGTTCTGGGAACTGTAGGCAGGTCATTATATTAGAGTGTGAAGGGCAAAGTCAGGAGTGAAAGGAGATGAAAGTAGAAAGCTAATTCAGGGCGCATTTCCCATCCCATGTGTTGTAGTGAGCCACTGAAGAAATGTGAATGGCCCGAAAGATCACCCTGAAAGCAGTGTGCTGGGTAGATTGGGGTCCAGTGGGGTGGGGATGGGGTAAGATTGGGGGCCGGAGTGGACAGTGCAATTACTGTGGATGACAGGAGGTTGAGAGCACAAAGGCAGAAGTAGTAGGGGTGCTCAGAAGTGAGAATGTGTAGGAGAATATCTAGCAGGAGGGAGAGCTGGCTGGTCTTTGCGACTGTTTGAATGTGAAGGGAATGGGAGAGTGAGGCTGACTAGAATGCCTGCCAGGTTTCTGGGTAGTGGGAGGGAAAAGAGAAGAGGAAGCAGATCTGAGGG